AGGTGTTGGGGGCACTAAGACAAGGAATGGGACAGGACCCAGGCTAGGAGGAGAGACTGCCCAGGGAGATGGGAGGGTGAGTGAGGCTGGGGGAGTCATGGCCCCTGAGGGCCCAATTGACTTACCCCAGAGAGAGAAGCCTGCAGGCCTGTGGGTACTGCAGGCCCAGGGAAGCAGAGGGAGGTGAGGGCCCAGCCAGGCCCAGAAGCAGTGCTCCTGGGGACCTGAGAAATAACTGAGTTGCTGTGGATGCAAAGGATCAGGAAGAAGCAGTGGTGGTTCCCCAGGTGTCTGGGGCACCAAGACAAGGAATGGGACAGGACACAGGCTAGGAGGAGAGACTGGCGGGGGAGATGGGAGGGTGAGTGAGGCTGGGGGAGTCAGTGCATGCAGGGCCCAATCGACTTAACCCAGAGAGAGAAGCCTGCAGGTTGGAGAGAGTGGCTGTTTTATTTTGGGGTTTCAACCTGTTTTTTTATTTTTGTTTCTTTTTTACATTCTGACTTCTCATGGCTTATTTGAACATTTTAAATAGAATACTATTTGGGGGGTTGGGGAATGGTTCAGTGGGTGCAAGAGCTTGCTGTGCAAGCATGAGAACCTGAGTTTGAACCCACAGCACCACTTAGAAGAGCTGGGCATGGCCATGCAGGTGCTGGTAACCCCAACACTGTATAAGGCAGAGACAGGAGGAACACTGGGGCTTGCTGGCTGCCACTCCAGCTCCAGGTTCAGTGAGAGACCCTGTCTCCAGGAATAAGGTGTAGAGAGTGTCCTCTTCTGGTGCATACACCCTCACCCAGTGCACATACACCACACAGAATTCTATTTTGATTTATCTGGGGTTCTAAAATGCACTTTCTATTATAGCTTTTGTAATATATTTTTCTAGCTACAATGTATGTCTATAGTTTATTACAGTCTGTTGGTGTCATATCAGTTAGGATGAAGTATAGTTATAATACATTTGTCTTAAATATTCTATATATATTTAAAGCTATATCAAACAACATAACTTTGGCTTTAGTCTTTAAACTTTTTTTAATCTTTGCTTGCTCAGTTCTGTCTTCTTATTCTCAGAAAATCTATGAAAGAACTTCTGCTATAGTCAGAAGGTGGCAGGGGACTAAGGAAAGGAGTCAGGCATATTGTGGGTACTGATGGTGCCACGATCAGCTTGCAGAGCTCCACGTACCACTCTAAAGGTTTTGATTATCTCCAGTATGCTGAGAAACTGCAGAGAAAATGGGCCAGGGCTGCTGGAGGGGCAGTCAAGGTGATTGTGGCCTAGGTAGTTTCAGTTACTGGCTCTCTACACTTTCATGATTTTTTTTCTGTTGAGAGAACCTACCTTTGCCATTCTTGGTGGTAGATCTTATGATGAATTTTCTTTGTTTTCTCTTATCAGTGATTTCCTCTTTATTCCTGAAGGATATTTTTGCTGGCAGAAGGTTCTAGGGTTTAGTACCTGAAAAATATTGTGTCCCTTCTTCCCTGCCTCTCTGATTTCTGGTGTGAAAGCTGTTGTCATTCTGATTGTTTATGGCAGGTTAAGGTATGGTTTCCCTCACAGCTTACAAGATTTTTTTTTTGTCTTTCATTTTAAAAAAATTAATCATGATGTATCTTGGTATGAGATTTTGAAATTATGTTATTTAGGATTTGCTCAGGTTGTTGAAATATGTACTAGTAAGTCTGTAGCTAAACATGGAAAGTTTAATAATATGTTCTATTATTTCTTTAAATGTTTTCATTTCAGCTCTTTCACCTCCGTCCAGGACTTCAGTGGTACAGGCATTAGGTCTCTCGTCCTGGTCTCACAGCTTCTTGAGGTGCTGTTGACTAGTCTCAGTCTGTTTTCTCTCTGTTGTCTAGGCTGGGTAATTTCTGTTGTTCTGTTTTCCAGTATCTTGATACTTCTCTCTACCCCTTCCATTTTGTTGTGCTGAGCTTGTCTACCAAGTGTTTATATTTTGGGTTTTGACTATGGTATTTTTCAGTTTTAAAATTAATGTTTTGGGGCTGGAGAGATGGCTCAGTGGTTAAGAACACTGACTGCCCTTGCAGAGGACTTGGATTTGGTTCCCAGCACCCACCTGGTGGCTAACAACCACCCTTAACTCCAGCTGCAGGGCATCTGCATCCTCTTCTGTCCTCTGTGGGACATGGCTGCACTTACACACATGCAGGCAATATACTCATACACATAAAAATAAAATAATATTTTGAATTAAAAACTAAAATTGACATTTTATATTTTATTTTTCTTAATATCTTCCTTTTTGTAAAGGCTCCTTTTTGTTTCAAGCATGCTTTTTTTTGTATTTCCCCCTTTTTATTTAATTTTTGTGATTTCTATGCAAAATATTTTGATTTCATTTAGATTCCATCCCCTATTTGCACTTCTTACTACTCCACAGCCAATAAAATGTACAATATATATGTATGGTACATTATATAATGACAGAGACTGAGTTGCATTCCCAAATGGTCCTTCAGTGTGGGTCCATCCACTGGAGCCTGGATAATCAACTAATGCATGCTGTCACCATTGTTGCAAGTTCATATGAATAACCAACCAACTGTCTGGAAAACTCTGTTTCCTTGTGGTCATCCACCACCTCTGGCTCTTACTGTCTTTCCATCCCCTTTCCTGCAGTGATTCCTGAGCCTTGGGAGGCAGAAGTTTGATACGGTGTCTTTTACAGATATAAGCACTCTGCAGCCTCTTATTTTTTGCATGTTGAGCAGTTCTGGTTCTCTGTGTTAATCACCATCTGTTGCGTAAGGAAGCTTCTCTGAAGAGACTTGAGAGAGGCATTAATCTATGGATATAAGTCATTTTAATACTGTATCAGCTTAATACTATATCTTTTTAGCAGAAAACTAGTATTGGGCTCTCCCCTATGACCTGTGACCTGTCTAGCCTCAGATTCCTAGGCCTGATTTCAATGCCAGGTATGGGCTCCATCCTACTGAAGTGAACCTTAAATCCAATTAGAAAGTGGTTGGTTACCCCCATAATATTCACGCCACCATTGGCACTGGTGGGCCTGTCTCACCAGGCCAGTTTTGTAGCTCACAGGATTCATAGCTTGGTAACACTGAGGATTAAATTCCTCTTCAGGTAGCATGCAGAGCGCCTTCCAGCACTGTGAATGGTAACAAGTAGAGATGAAGCTCTGAAGTCAGGACTAGCTTGATTTCTCCTTGTTTATTCTACAGCTCATGTTTGTAGTGTCTTGAGCAATATGGTATTACCGTGAAGTTCTGGTGGGTAGCTAAGAGCAAGGGCAATGGCCAGTATTTGGGGGTCTGAGGGACCCATGGTCAACAGCTTCAAAAGAGGAGGTCCATTCTTGGCATTGGGCTTTTATTTTGCTAGCCTATAGTGTCTAGTAGGGACAGTGTCCCCCTGTTAAAAGATAATCTCTTTTTATAATGTATATGTATATACTCTAAAAAGGTTCTATCGTAGTAGGTTTCCATATGGCTTTTTCTACATGTCTGAGTGTCAGTTATCCCTCCCCATACTCCCTCTTCTGCCCTGCCGTCCTATTCCCCTACCCATTTAACCCTTCCCATTCTGTTATTCCCTTTCCCCCTTTATATCACCACATACTACCACCCTTCCCAGAAAGCCCCCCCCCATGGCTGTTTATTAAATAGTTTCCTGACGTCTCTGGATTTTCAAATAGAAACAAAACATGTTCTTTTTTATTTTATGTGTATGAGTATTTTGCCTGCATGTAAGTGCACCACTTGCCTACCATGCCCTCAGAGACCAGAAGAGGGCATCAGATCCCCTGGATCTGGAATTATGGGCAGTTGTTAGCTGCCATGTGGTGGTTGGAAACTGAATCCTGGTTCTCTGCAAAAGCAGCAAGTACTTTTAACCATCTCCCAGCCTTCAAGCATGTTCCTAATTATTGAAACATTACAATTCTAGTTGCTTAAGAACCTTGGTCAGATAATTTTAGCATTTTTCTTTGCACAGTGTAGGCCTAGAACTCGCAATCCTCCTTCCTCAGCTTCCGTGGCATCTGCTCACTACCTGTTTTTCATTCAACTTGAGAATCTTTCTGGTTCCTGTTAGATAAATGATTTCTGTTAGATCCCAGACATGATTCATATTCTGTTCTGAGTCTGTGGACTCATAAGTTATTTCAGTCTTACTTTAGCTGGGGTTCTCTGGCATTGCTCAGGCAGGGAGAAGGGGTACAACCTCATTCCTCCCACTTGGAGGTAGAAGTCCAGGTTCCACACTTGCCCCACTGGGACTGAAGGCAAGGGCTTCTTATTCTTCTGAGGAAAGGTGGAAACTGCCTTCATGTGGTCTCTGTGACTACTATAGGGTAATGTGGCTTGTTACGGGTTGGTAGGGATGAAGAACCGAGCTCTCCTCTTGACTTACTGGATTCTACCATAGTAGAGATAGTGGGGTGCCTCATTATATGCTCACACAGATCTTGCTGCCCATAGCTAGGCTTCCACTTAGCCTTTGTTGGCATCAATGGGATAGGTTTACAGTTCTTTCTGTTATTATTCTTTGTGGCTGGAATAGTTATTGTCTAAAAGTTTTCTGTCTTATTAGACTGACCCTGGTGGTCCTTTGGCTACAGAGAAAGTATTTACTGGAGTTTCTTTTTCTCAGGTATCCGTTGTCATTTCCAGGTTGACTTCTTCTTCAGGGCAAAGTCTGGGATATATGGGGCAAGAAGAAAACCAAGCACTTCCCCGTCATGTCATTCCTTGGGTCTCACCCTAGCAGATCTGCCGTCTTCACTCTGCGTACTAGAGTTGTGCTTGTTTCCTCTAAGTGCCCAGGGCTTTTAGTTGTACATAGCAGAAGAAGAGGGGAAAGTACATCTAGTTCATCTTCCTCCAACCAGAAGAGTTCTATGAATCTTTAACTCTCAACTTTCAAAAATGCCATATAACGACCATGGCAAATATGTTTTCAAGAGCTTGACTTTGCTTATTTTTCTGTGAACTCATAGGCTTCTTCAAAAGATATTGTCAGACAGCTATGTCAAGAAAGCTTTTCCAGTTCAGCCCTTGGCTCAAAAAAACTCTTGGATATTACATGTTCCAGCTTGTCTGTGACCCAGAAGGAGGCAGAGCAAGTAAGTGTGTCAGAAACGACCTTCTGCCACTGACCCTTACCACTTCTTTACCTCTTTCTTGACTTCGCATTCAATTGCATGTCCAAAGACATTGACATTGTGGCAAACTTCAGATAATTTTTAAAAGTATCGGCGGGCGTCATGGTGCACACCTTTAATCCCAGCACTCGGGAGTCAGGGGCAGGCGGATCTCTGAGTTCAAGGCCAGCCTGGTCTACATAGTGAGTTCCAGGACAGCTGGGGCTACAGGGAGACCCTGTCTCAAAAAGACCAGAAAAAAAAAAAAATCAATGAACGTAAAAGATTTTGTCTTTGAGCCTTTCCTTATGATACATAAGACCCTTATATAAATGGAATTCCTGACCATTTTCAGACTTATTACTTAGACAATGTGGATGAAAGCCAACCTTTTGTGATTTTCTTGCCCAGCATGTAACTTTCAGATGCTGATGAATTGTCAGCTGGGGAGCATAGGGCAGGCTTTGCATGGTTCTTCCAGCTGAGGCACCGAGGCCTGAGTGGCATTAGAGAGTACCCACTGCTGGGCCTAATCAGGCTCCCCCAGAGATGCGGTGTGCACCATACTCTCTCCCTGCCCCTCTGCCCCAATGACGTCTTCTGCTCAGCTCACTTCATCTCATCAGGTGGTCAAGAGAAAGACAAGGTGACTCGACTCATGCTAAGTTAGGTCTCTGTGACAGCATTATCGGTCAGGAAAGAGATGCTTCTACTACAGAAGGGTCTTTATCCAAATGGCCCTGTTTCATCCAAATTGCCAAAATTTTTGTGATGTAGTGCTTTGTTCATAGAAATCAGCTATAGAAAAGTAATAGATAGAAGTAAGATTATAGAATTCATTTGGATGCCCATAGAAGTAAATGCTGAAGCAAGGACCTGAGTATAGCCAGTGACTTGGGAGGTGATTCTCGAAAGAACAGAGGAAGGAGTGGAGAAAGTCAAACAGAATAAAAGACAAGCCAATTCAAAAGTATGTCCATGAGGTAGTCACTGCAGTGGCACTGACCCCCACTCTCCCTGGTGCAAGTGTAACTTCATTTCTAAGTTGTGTCCATTTATAGCCAGACAACCTCCAGTGGCATCAGAAAAGGCCACAAAACCAAGAAACAATCACCTCCAGAGAATTTGCTTGGGTCCCTAAGCACCATTGTATTACCAAGTCAACTGTACACTACAAGTGACTTCAGATGGCATGTGTAGGGTGTAGCTCTGCAAAAGAGTGCTTACCTGCTGTGCAGAATCCTGGGGTTTACTATGCAGTGCCACAAAAAAAAAAAAAAAAAAAAGAAACCCTACAAGACTAGGATGCATAGCAAGGTGGGGTTCAAGATTCCTCTTTTACAGAGGGAGTCATACCACCGCCAGGAAGTATTATTCTTTGTACTCCACGATGAGACCCTGACCACCCTGGATTCAAAGCTCACATCCCAGAAGAACCAGGATCTCCCTTCACAACTCAATAAGCACAGGGTCAGGTTTTTGCAAGGAAGGTCCAGCCCCGCTCAGGGAAACCCAGCTTTTTTTCCAGGTGTTTAAACAGCCCTCTCAGTCCAGAGGCATTGGACCAATGCAGGGTTGCCTAGTAACCCAGCTGACTTCCCACTTCTCTCAGGTTACCAGGGAAACAGCACCAGAAAGTTAACTGAAGGTCAAATGCTCTCAGAGAAGGCAAGGGAACATATTAATTCTTTGCTTATAAGTAGTGAGTTTCTAACAAGCTGATAGCTTTCTAGGTCAGGCAGCTGCATCTGCCTTTAGGGGGACAGGTGAACTCATGGGGTGGCAGAGTCATGAGGAACATCAGCCTCTGCTACAGAGGCCCCCACTCTTTTATAACTCATGTGACTGTCGCAGTGTGCCTTCATGGGTGAGCCCCAATCCTGCCCCTGTTGTCTGTCCCCTGCTCCTGCAGTTACAGGCCTGCCCTCTGTTCTGCAGCTGCTCCAGGCTCTGCATCGCCTCACTAGGCTGGTGGCATTCCGTGACCTTTCCTCTGCTGAGACAATTCTGGCTCTCTTTCCAGAGAATTTCCACCAAAATCTCAAAAACCTGCTAACAAAAATCATCCTTGAACACATGTAAGTACTTGTTTTTGAGAGTTCTTTCAACATTTATATTTCTTATAATCCCTCTTCTAGAAATAATTATGTGTTTATGGTTGATAAATGAATACAGATAACTAAAAGAAGAAAATAAGAGCCTAGTAGTCCCACCATCCAGAAGATAGCAGCATTAATTCTTTAATGGAAAGCCGTTAATTTCGGTATATTTGTTATTTTGAGGTAGGGCCTCATATAGCTCAGGCTAGCCTTGAACTCCCTATGTAGACAAGAATGACCTTGAACTTCTGTTTCTCCTGCCTGGGATTACAGGCAAGTGCTGCCTCTCCAGGCTTGAAAACCTTTTAGAGCTTAGTTATTGTTTCTCTTTCCATATATGCAGACAGGCTATATTTTGGTTTTGTTTTTAACAAAAAAGGACCATGTCATAACTTTCTTATTTCTGTGAACAGTATTAACATTACTGACACTTCAGTAGTGTTTACCTTTAGGGTCATTTTTAATGGTTAAATGTAAAATATATTCTATTACATGGAGGAATTAGGTATTTTTAAAATTCCTTAGGGTTAGGCATTTAAGATATTGATAGTTTGTCACTTCAGTGAAAAATTTATAGTGGAATCTTAGCTATGTGTTTATTTCCTTACTTGGTTAAAGGCCATGTGTACATTGAAAACGGGGTTTCCCATATATTGTCAAATTGGCTGTGCAGTTAGCTATCAAGAACATTCTACTTTTTTTGAAACTAGGTCTCTGTGTAGCCCAGGTTAGCCTTGAACTTGGAGCCTCTTGGTTCTCCCTACTGTGATTACAGGCATGCTCTACAAGGCCTGGTTTTCTCCCCACCTCTACACTGAAGGGATTTGTTTTTTCTTAGTATTTCTTTCCTCAATTCTATGAATGGGAAATGGTGCTTCATTTCAACTTTTAAGCCTTTGATGTTACTGATATTGAACGTCTTTTTCATGTGTTATTGGTCATTTTTTTATTTCCTTTATGAATTTTCTGTATCTTTTAAGATGAACAGGATTAAACACAGGATTTTTTATTTTTCCCCTTAAGACAGGACGTCACACTGTAGCCCTGACTGTCCTGGAACACACTGTGTAGACAAACTAGCCCCACACAGCAATCCTCTGCCTTCTGAGTGCTGCTGGGCTTAAAGGCATATGCCACCATGTGCAAGTAGAAGTGATTAGCAGAAAGTGTGCAAGGGTCCTAAAAGCAGGAACTGGAAATGGCTTTATTTTTTATAGAGAACTTTCATCCGTGACCACATTTTATTCTGGTTGCTTGGCAGCTCACTATGACGCTCTTAGCCGTAGCATTTGCCAGGCCTATGTGATGTTTTACATAAGATGTGGTACTCTATAGTAGATCCTCAGTGAGAGAGTAAATGACCTGTTCTGTTTTGTCTTTGAGAACAGTAGTACAAGATTACAAAGCATTTAGCTTTTTATTCTTTTAAACATTTTATTTATTTATTTATTTATTTATTTATTTATTATTTGTGTGCAGGGAGGGGAATACATGTGGAAGTTAGAGGAAACTTGCAGAAGTTAGTTCTGTCTTTCTACCTTGCAAGTCCTGGGAATTGAACTCAGGTCCTCAGGCTTAGTGGCAAGTGCCTTTACCTGCTGAGTCACCTCTCTGGCTTGCCCGCCTTTTACTCTTTTTTGACCTAAGCTATAAAAATTAACACTTAAGACCTTACCATAACTGAGCTTTGCAAAACAAATTTTAAAACTGCTTTTTGGAGAGAGGGGTTTCTGAGGCCCTTCGCTGAGGATCACAGGCTGAGGTCCCAGGCTCCCCTTCACTACCTGGAAGCTCGCCCCATCATGCTCCCACTCATTCTTCCTCGTCTTTCCCTCTTAAACAGATCCACTTGGAGAGCTGAAGCCCAAGCAAACCAGAGTGAGTACTGAGCTGTCTCTTTCCCTTACTCTGCTCCTCAGTACATTGTGGGGTGGGGAGGGGGACTGTGTCTGGCTATGTGTATGTGTCTGGCCATGTATTTATAATATATATAATTTTTAAAAAAGAGAAAAGACGAGTAATTAAAATTATTCTTCAGAACAATTGCATGAAGGAGTGTTTAAGAGTCTCCTTACACACCAATCACAGTGCTGGAGCACTCTGTCTGTGTTGATACATTCCATCCTCAAGCAGCCCTGTGAGCCAGGCTGACTTATTCCCCTCTTCCAGATGAGGAAATAGAGGCTGAGTTTAGGCAGGCATAGAGCCTGCAATCAGACTGAGGCTGTTTAATCTTTAAAACAAAGCCTCTATCTAACTTGGTCACTGAAGCTGCTGTTTTCCTAAGACTCATGTCATGGCTGCATCTCTGCCGTGTGTCATTCCTCATTCTACCCTAACATCTGGAGGGTGGGTGTTTGGAGATGCCACCCACTGGGAGCCAGTGCTAAAGACAGGTGGCACAGAGCAATATGTAAGGTACATAACTTGTGGGTCTTGAGTCCTGTCTTTCTCTTTCTGAGACTTGCTTTATAGATCACACGTATTAGCCAAGCAGGCAGATAGATCTCTATGAGATCTAGGCCAGCCTGGTCTACATATCAAGTTCCAGGCCAGCTAGGGCTACAGGGAGACCCTGTCTGAAAAACAACAAAATATATTATATGTATACATTCCTTAGAGCCACCTGTCATAGAATAAAAGCCTAGGAGACACAAGTGGCCTAAGCTCTGACCAAAGCCATCCCCTCCACAGTCTCGCTGCCACGCCTGGTTGACCTGGACTGGAGAGTGGATATCAAAACCTCCTCAGACAGCATCAGCCGCATGGCCGTCCCTACCTGTCTTCTCCAGATGAAGGTACGCCCACTGTCATGCTCATCAGAAGGAAAGCGGGACAGTAGGGAGTTGCCCCCCACACTGGCTATCTAAAACACCAGTAGTCAAAGTAAAAAAAAAAAGTTAACATCCTCCAAGTGTGGTGCTTGTTCCCAAAGTATACACGTAAGGCCGTATTAGCACAGCATGGTCACGGTGAAACACACTGACAGTAGAGGTTTCAGAATGGCAGGTGCAGAGCCTTGTGTTTATTAGTGATATGCTGATGTCTGAGAGTGTAGTCTCTCTTTAACAAGAGGGCCGTCATGCAGATAGCCTGCTGGATGCTCTGGTACCCTCTCCCAGTGACTTGTCCAGTAGGATTGGGCTGTCACTGTTTGTAGTGCAGCCTATCAAGCTTCTGTGGCCAGTCCTTCGTTCTCCCACTCATGTGTCTTCTCTCGTTACCTTCACCTTGTTCTTTTCAGGAACATTTTAAAGACATACTCATTTTATAGGGCTTGTGTAGTTAAAATTAGAATAGTATAATGCTCTATCTGCTTCACCAGATACCCAGAAATTCAACATCTGTAGAAAATGAAGAAGTGAGGGATTGTAGCAGCACCCTTTCAAAATGTTAGTAAAGCTAATTTCCTTTTTGTAAGATCAAATAAGTACACTAGAACTTGTCATCTTCGTCCTGCATCCAGTTGCTGTGTGCAGTCTGTAGAGTATAAAGAGGCAGTGTTTTCTTACTTGAGTGCTGAGATAGTGGCAGAGAGGTGGGTGAGCCTTAACGCACTCACAGCATTGGTGCAGATGGAAGGTGACCCAGGCCCTTGCGCATCTTCGTTATCTACTGTTAAAGGATGAAAGGGCTAGCATGCCTTGCAGCACTCGGCTGAGAGCCTCGCTTCAGGGAGCCAGAGGACCTGAGTAGGATTCACAGGGAAGGAAGAAGAGGGGCAGCTTTGACTTTCTGGGCCTTGCTCTTCTTGCAGATCCAAGAAGATCCCAGTCTGTGTGGAGACAAACCCTCGGTCTCAGCTGTGACCATGGAGCTGAGCAAAGAAACGCTGGACACCATGTTAGATGGGCTGGGCCGCATCCGGGACCAGCTTTCTGCCGTGGCCAATAAATGAGCTGACCAGCTCCTGACCAGCAAGCAAAGATGCACGTCCCAGCATGCGGCAGACAGCAGGCAGGATGGCAGGTTGGAGGGGCCTGCTGTCATCCTGAAGGCACAGCGGGATGGAAGGAAGCAACCAAGCCCCTTGCCATTCTCTCCATCCTCTCCTTTTTTCCCTGCAGCTGGCAGGCAGAAGCCTTCAACTCTGAAAGGCCCCTGTGCATGGCTGAATTACTGCCATGGCAGTGTGACGGGGGAGCATGTTCTTTATCAGCTGCCTCTGCATGCTGATGTGGGAAACTCAGGCTCAAACTGTGGCGCTTACCTAATGAGTTTACCTCCAGCATTAACGTTGATGAGTTCATTTCCAGCCCTGGAACACATGGAGGAAATGGGGAGTGATACCAACAGCGCCTGCTCCTCCATCAGAGAAGCCAGGCAGGCAGATGCCAGAGCAGAACCACCTCAGCATGATCCTTTCAGATCCTCCCCTGAGCCCTGTTGGGCCACAGCTCCGTCGCCCCTGGGTGACGAAATGGAAGGAATTGGAAATAAACAGCAGTTTTATGACTCTGGTCATCATTCTTTTGATGCCTCAGTTGATGCCTTCAGCCCTTGCTGCCTCTCATTCAGGTAGATGGCCCCAACTTCCTAATTTCCAGCTAAGCTCACAGCCCTTGGTTTGATGTGAAGCCACATGTAGGAGCTGCCCACTCTCCATGCTGTTGCCCCTCATGTAAAACAAAAGATAAGGCTAACAGTCACATTCAGCCTTTCCAGATCATCTGTCATGTGCCTCACATGCCATAGGACTCCATGTCTGGAGGTCTTTTCTCCTTCCTCACACAGCAGCACGTAACCTTTTGCTGAATACTTTGTTTTGGCAGTCTCTCGTGTGTGTGTGTGTGTGTGTGTGTGTGTGTGTGTGTGTGTGTGGTGCAGGGAGGAGGTTGGAAGGACTGCTGGTGAAGAATTTATACTCAGGAGTCAGGTAGCCAGGCTGGGAAGTCACACCTGCTTCTCGATGGTAAAGTGCTTGACCTCTAAGGATCAATTCCTGCCCACCCCTCCTTGCTTTTCTTTGTTAATTAAATAGACACATAATTGTGCCTTCTTTATAAGACTGTGAAGATTAGATGATATCCCTGAAAGCACTTAACACTGGGACAACTAATAGGAAAGGCTCAGTAATGTTAACTTTGGCTATTAATGGGAATGACAGTAGAAACTCTGGGCATATTTTGTGAAGTCTACCATAACTGGGTTGGTGTGAGATTGATTGAGGTTATCTGCCCTTTATGAATGAGAAAGCCAGCTCATGGAGCTTTAGTTACCTGCTGGTAAATGGCCTCATTAGGACCTGAGTCCAGATTTCTCTAGCTTTCTCTCTGAAGCATAGGACTCTTCAAGGCCCATAAAGTTTTATGTCTGGCTCCATTTGGTAGAATTCTGAATCTGAACTAGAGATGAAAAATCTAGCCGCTGCTTACCTGGTGAGATACTGTGGAGCTGAGACAAAACCTCCAAGTTCCTCTTTGCCTGACTGTCTCCTGGAAGCTAAGCAGCCTGATCCTTTAAAAAATATAATTTTTAGGGGCTGGAGAGATGACTCAGCAGTTAAGAACACTGGTTGTTCTTGCAGAAGACCTGGATTTGAATCCCAGCGCCCACATGGCAGCTAACAACTGTCCGTAACTCCAGTTCCAGGGGATCGGACAACCTCTTCTGTCCTCCATTGCATGACACAGGTGATTACATGGGTGCACTTACATGCAGGCAATACACGCATACACATAAAATAAAAAATTAAAATATTTTTAAAAATACATATATAATTTTTGTTTTTTGAGACAGGGTCTCCCTGGAGCCCCAGCTGGCCTAGAACTCTATTAGACCAGGCTGGCCTCCATCTCAGTGATCCACCTGCCTTTGCCTCCCTAAGTGCTGGGATTAAAGGCGTGCACCACTACACTTAGCAAAAACAAAATATTTTTATTCCTTGAGAATTTCATTCATGCATTCCAGGTATTTTATCATATTCTCCCTGTTCCTCCCAGCTTCATGTCCTCTGATCTTTGCTTTTGTTTTGTTTTACTTTATAACCCACCAAGTCCAGTTTGTGCTGCCCGTATACTTGTGGGTATCAAGGCATCCACTAGAACTTGGTGGTGGGCCTATCAGGGGCCACACCCTTAAAGGAAATGGACTCTTCCAACCCCCTAAACCACCACCTATCGATAGTTCTTCAGCTACGGGTGGGGGCTCTTGAACTCCTCCCTCCATGCTGGGATGTTCACTGAGGACTTGATCTTGTGCAGGCAACAGCAGCTACTATGAACTTGTGAGTGCAGCCATCTGTCATCCAGAAGACACTGGCTCGGGTCCTCTCTGTCCTCTGGTTCTTACAGTCTTTGGGCCTGCTCTTCTGCAGTGGTCTCTGAGCGTGGGAGAAAGGGGGTGTCATATAGCTGTCTCATTTGTGGCCAAGCACTCCACATTTATTCTCTCTACTTTGACAAGTTGTAGGTTTCTGCATTAACCACCCTGTACTACACAAACTTATCTGATGAGGTCAGAGAGATTCACTAATCTATGGGTATAACAATATGTGTTTGGAGGGCAGCAGCTTGATTTAAAATGGTAGATCTGAATTCTCTGGAGCCATACCTATTGAGATCTGTGGTTCCTATCTGTAGGAAAAGACTTTTATATTTTGCATGCCATGAGAAGTCATGGGCCTCAGCTCATTACTTCAGGCTTATAACCCCTGGTCTGTGCTCATGTTGAATTCAGCCTTGATACGAATTCATTCCCATTCTCATGACATGCAGAATCCTGTCTTCATCAAATCCCTGTCTTCTTCTTCTTCCATGGTCATTTGTAACTCATGAAACCAGAAGGCTGCATAGGTATCTTGGCAGTTGGATATTCTTTTAGTCAGAGCTGGCTGAACAGAAATATTTGTCACAAGTGCAGTGACACTTGTATAAGCACATGCCATACATACCTGGAAAAGCCAGCTGATGTTTATTGCCCTTATACAGTCTGCTTGCTTCCATTTCCTGCTCTTAGCAAAGATAGATTATTTATAGGTACTGTACTTCTGGTTGGCTCAGAAGGACCCCCTGGCTTCCACCATTGATCTCCATGGAAGCTCTTTCAGTGATTATGTCGTTTCCTGGTGCTATGTACAATGAAGCTTCTCTATGCTAACAGCCTTCCCTCAGGTACAGGAAGGGTTAATGTGCAAACTCCATCCACAAAAGGGCAGCCATCGATGTTTGGTGACTGTGCTCCCGGCTGCCCGACACATTCCACCTACCCAGCCACAAAGGTGAGCAGCTGCCTCAGTCCTAATCGTGTGTCTCAGAGATTGTACTATGGATGTGCATGACTCCAGTTGGGCCAGTCTGTCTTTCCCTTGGCCTTTCCCTGCCAGGATCAGCAGAGACTGCCTCCTGCCTCCAGGCTCTGACAGTCAGAGCTGGAATCTGTTTACCCCACAGACAAAGGCCACCTGCATCAGCCCATCCAGATCCCAGAGGCTGAGAAAGGATGAGAGTGTTGAGCCAATTCCTCCTGGTGTATCCATCTATCCTGGTGGGTGAGAATGTGTTAGAATGTACCCAGGATTTGTTTTAGCCCAGAAAGGCGAGACAGGCAGACACAGAAGACTGTCATGCAAAAGTTGATATTGACAGAGCTCTAGAAATGAGGCATATCACTCCAGACAGAGCCATCTAGGAAAGAATCACCTCTCCAGGACTTTGGGGAGTCCTAGAACCATGTGTTCCTTTCCTCTCCCCTTTTACATGAAAAAGCTTGAACCACTAGTCATCAAGTTAGGAGTATACATCACTCAGGTTAGAAAAGTGACATCAGCAAGTAGACAACAGAAAAGTTTGCAACCCAATCAATATTTGTGAGATACGATGATCCCTTTCTTTGTTGTTGTTTATTCATCAATGTGACTTTATTTGGAAATAGTTATTACATATGTAATTAAGCTTTAAATTAACATGAAATCATGGGAATAGAATATACCCTTACTCTAAGACAACTCTTCTTTTTTTTCCTTTTTAAAAAAAATAACCACATAATTAGAAGAAGCATTTCATTACAATAGCATTGACATATTCAATAACAATTTCCAGAGCTAAGATGCATCTCTTTCAAAATTGGCTGTAAATGTTTAGGTTTACAGTTAAATTAATACAGTTATACAATATTGTACTCAGTATAACCCTATAAGGTCCCTTTAACACTAACCCCATGAATGGCCCCCAACACGAGTGAGCCTTGAGTAGAGCTTTCCTTTTGCAAACAACTGGCTGAACTTTGACTTGGCAAAACTCAGGAAGAGGGGAAGTGATTTATCAAGCATCCGTGGGACCATATAATGTCCCAGACACCAGGCACATTCATCTAAGTTGCTTAGATTTGGCCCATACGGTCAGTGCTACCCTGTCAGTAGAGCAGACTTGCCCCTTGGAACTAAGAGGGTGGTCATTTCTCCTCCCCTCAGAGGGATCTTTTCAAGAAACAGATTTAGTCGAAGTCCTAGATGCTCAATCCTAGACTTTGGGCATGCCACTAATGTGGAAAAATATGACCAATCAATGGCCCTGGGTGCAATCCCCAGACACTACCGATGCAATTTATTATTATTATTTTTTTTTTTTTGGTCTTTTTGAGACAGGGTCACCCTATAACCCCAGCTCACTAAATAACCCCAGCTCACTAAATACACCAGGCTGGCCTCCATCTCACAGGGATCTGCCAGCCTCTGCCTTCCAAGTGCTGGGAGTAAGGCGTGTGCCAGCACACCCCGCCTAGTACCTAACTTTTTGAGCTCCATAGTTGTCGGTTGAGACTGTATGGCAACTAACCAAAATCACACCATCAAACCACAAGCTCACCAATAACCGCCCATACTTTTCCAAGTAGAGGCTTTTGCCTTTGGGATCCAGACAGGAAGCTGAGAGCAATCTGGGGGCTTCCTTACCATCTCCATCTGCTATCAAACAACCTTGCTTGCTGCACCAATTCTAGAAATGTTCTAGTGATTCATTTTGATCAGGAATGGTAAGACAAAGATACAGAAATGATTGTCCTGAGGAAAGACATACAGAGCCACGTGGAGCAAGACTGACATTGCTCCAGAGACAGGAAGGGTGAGGCCAAAGCCCTTGTGGGATTCTAGTAGGAAATAATGGTCAAGGCAGGGAAAGTAGGCATGCATAATAAGGTTAGGATTGGGTAGTTTGAATCATAGGATTGGGTAGTGTGGTGGGTTCTGGGAGTATAAAGGTGTGCTCTAGTTGCCCAGAATCTGGCTCTAGGATAATTTTAGGGAGAGGGATTATTAGTTTGGTTTGTACCTTTGATAAAAGTGGTGAGAGTGTGTGTGCTGGATTGGTTTGTTTGCACGTCAAAGGTATGCTCCTGGAGAGGTTATCTCTGCAGGAATTTGCTAGCCCTGCTAGAGGCAGGCTCTCCAGGATCAAGGCCCTAGGCACCAGAGCATCAAACGTGCAGAAAATCAAACCATACACTTGCCACAAGAACATGCTGCCGTA